AGCAGACGTACGCTGAAGAGTTGGGGATGGAGTTTGGGGTAGAGTACGGGAAGGAAATTCCTCTTCCTGTAGGGTTGAAGCTTTCAGAGTTTGACCAGGATGAGGAAGTGGTATCATGGCCTTTTCGTGAGCTGATAGGATCATTGATGTGGCTGGCAACGCAAACGAGGCCAGATATCGCGAATGCAGTAAGAGCGGTGGCACGGTACTGTGCCTCTCCAAAAGAGATTCATTGGAGAGCAGGGCTTGGGATTTTGGGGTATGTGGTAAGGACTAGTGACTTGGGTATTACATTCAGGAGGGGTAGTGTAGCAGGATTAAGCATGGAGGTGTTCGCAGACGCAGACTATGCAAGTAAGGCTGCCGATAGGAGGTCTGTGTCAGGGGGATTGGTAATGTGTGGGGGGGGATGTATGTCTTGGTTTTCAAGGACCCAGAAGTGCGTCACGTTGAGCACGACAGAGGCGGAGTATGTATCTCTCGCGGATGTGATGAAGGAAGTGTTGTTTCTGAGGCAGGTGCGGCGTTTCGTGTTACCAGAAGCAGGCATGCCGTGTATTCCGGTGTTAGAGGATAACCAGGGGGCTATTCAGTTGGCGCAAAACCCGATAAGCAACAGTACCTCGAAGCACATCGACGTAAGGCACCACTTTATCAGGGAACTGGTACGCAGGAAGGAGATATCGATTTTTCACGTGGAATCGGCGTATCAACATGCTGACTTTCTCACGAAAGCACTTAACGCAGGAGATTTTGAGTGTCATCGTAACTACGTGATGAGTATGGATTATTATATTGGTGTTTGGATTTATTTTGTGTGTGATCAAACAACTGGGGTGGCAACATTTTACATTTTTGCCTATGGTATTTCTCAATGGATGATGTTCTAGGGTGGGGGACAACTAGTTCACTGAAGTTCGAAGAAGTATAACTGGTATGATCGGGGATGGTTATTGATGTCTAGCCAGTGAGGCTATTGTTCTGGAGTTGAATTGAGTTTCTGATTTTATATTTATTTTCTTGTGTTTTGGAGTTATTCAGGATCGAAAAAGACATGGCATGGTCACAAGCAGGGGGGGTGATAGATATACTTGTAGCAATGCCAAGTGGTTGTAGGATTGTGTGGTACGTGGAATGTATTTCCAGGGTGTGCAAGGTACCCCTGTTGTTTACTGCGTCGCCCCCTCATGGTGGTGTGTGCACGCGTGCGTTCAGTTCATGTAAGTTCATGTGAGTCCATGTGAGTTCATGTGAAGGAGAAGTTTATGCATCAAACCCTACACGTCTTTCCTCCTTGGCGCGAGTTCGCCGAGTTGTCGACACCCTATTCAACACACGTCTTACGACAAGCTACCCCCAGTTCGGATCATCCTATCATCTCCGGCTGGCATCTCCAGTANCTATTCAACACACGTCTTGCGACAATCTACCCCCAGTTCGGATCATCCTATCATCTTCGGCTGGCATCTCCAGTGGGAGGGACAGGAACGCTGTGTCGCTCACATGGGACTCGCACCCCGTGGCTACGGCCGCGGTCAATGCCCCGTCTTCACCAATGGCCAGACTGCCCAACGTCACCGAAAACTCCGGAGTAGCCGCCGCCTCCCGCTCCTTCTCCTTCGCCTAGGTGGGACTGCGGGAACCAAGAGTCACCGAGGCGCGCTGTGACTGTGATTGGGGAGGGCAACAACACGACGATGGTGAGAGGGCGAGGTCAAGGCCGCTACGTGCGGGGCATGGGGGCGGAACTCGTAGTGATCCAGCCGCGATCGGAGCGCCCCCTGCTTCGCCAGATCGACTTGGACGTACGCCTCGCGCCCCGCCAGCTCAGCCTTACGATCCTCCTTTGCTTCCGAGCTGCCGCCAGAGCAGCCGCACGCTCCTCCTCCTGTTTCCTCGCAGCAGCAGCCAGGGCAGCCTCACGCTCCTCCTCCTCCTGCTTCCTCGCAGCAGCAGGCAAAGCAGCCTCACGCTCCTCCTCCTGCTTCCTCGTAGCAGTATCCAAAGCAGCCTCACGCTCCGCCACGCGCTCCGCGTCCTCGCGCTTCGCCTGCTCCCACGCTTGCGTATCCGCTCTCTTTCCGGCAAGACCGTTGCACCGCATGTCGTTCAACCTTTGGTAAGCCGTAAACTCATTGTGAGGTAAGAGGATCGACTTGTCTTCCGGGGGGAGCGAGAAAGGAGGAACGAAAAGGGGGGAATCGGACGACAGACGGGTCGCCCCGGCAATATCCTCCAGAGAGACACGTCCTGCGTAATGGGCCTCCTCTAGGTCTGCAAGATTCCGCCGTGGCGATGTTGTCCAGCAAATCATCGACGGTGAACGCGCGGGGTGTGGGGCAGCGCTCGTCTCCCGTACCGGCCTCCGAAAACTGTTGTGCGGTAGGGTCCTCTCCCTCGGGTTCGTAGTCCAGGAGTTCAACATTGCCGCTGGACATGTTTTCCTCTTTTTTAACAGAGACAGGGCCAGAGAAAGGGTAGCTACGATCGATTGTGGGAAGGGCAGCAGGGCTAGAAACAGCAGGTGTAGCACAACCATCCGCAACAGAGGCAGCAGAACCAAGGGCAGCAGAAGAGGTAAAGCGGGGTGCAACCTGGGGAAAAGAAAGCCGAGGTCCATGCGACAGGCGGAGACACCCACAGGATAGTGTACGCCCGGTGAAAAGCTTGGTGCACATGAGGTTGAAGCGGACCCAACCAAGCAGAAAAAGAATCCAAAAGCACACCATGCCACGCACAAACAGCAGTAGAAGCTAGCAGAAAAAGACCCGTGTTAGATGGGGACACGAGGTTTCCCGACCAAAAGATACGCAGAGCAGCACGGCGTTCCTCCGCAACTCGTGGCGAAGTGCGAGGAAAGACCGCTGTGGGTTGGCGTTGTTGAAAGATTTCCAATTCAAATGCTTGGAGGGTGAACGATTGCCTCCCAAAAGTGCCATGTGATTTCGAAAAATGGAGGGAAGGCTGGTGGGACGGCTGACACCCAAATTGTGCGCACACAACACGCTCCACGTCAAGGCAAGCGGAGTCAAATCGGAGAGCACAACAGGAAAATCCGCGGATATAGGCCGGTACGCCGGCATGAATGCAGTAGAGGTGGTAGCAGACGTGGGAAGCATGCTGTCATCTCGAGTCCCACTACACAAGGCCAGCAACGCAGGTCGCTGCATGCAGAGCGTATACGCCACAGAAATCACTTCATGGACCGCCGATGCAGACAAAACAGCTTGTGAGGGACGGCGAACGTGGGAAAAATCGCCCAAAACATCGCGATTATCGCCGAGGCGCGTATCATTCGCAAGGTCCCAGTCCCGCGTGCGCGTGGCAAAAAAATCGCAAACCAGCATCTCTACAGGAGAAAAACCAGACAAGAGGCGAAGTCGAGATTCCCGTGGGTGGTGAGACCCAATAACAAGCAACCCAGTGGTTGTGAAGAAATCGTGGCAACAACACACAGCGGTGTGGAAGCCGCGTCCAGCACCCGCTCACCGTGTAATGCCAGGTGACGCTAAGTTTAAAGGAGGTGAAGCCGTTGGCGGTAGCTTGCTCCTAGAGATAGATGAATGTTCTGTCGTTGACACCCTTGTCCACGACCGCGTTGAGATGGGAAAGTTGCTTGTTATTGCCGTGAGACGATCAGCAAGGGTCTGAGATGGAGTGGGGTACACAGAGTAGACAATTTTAAGGGGGCAGGGGTCAGNTGGGAAAGTTGCTTGTTATTGCCGTGAGACGATCAGCAAGGGTCTGAGATCCGTGTAATGCCAGTTGACGCTAAGTTTAAAGGAGGTGAAGCCGTTGGCGGTAGCTTGCTCCTAGAGATAGATGAATGTTCTGTCGTTGACACACTTGTCCACGACCACGTTGAGATGGGAAAGTTGCTTGTTATTGCCGTGAGACGATCAGCAAGGGTCTGAGATGGAGTGGGGTACACAGAGTAGACAATTTTAAGGGGGCAGGGGTCAGAAATAGCTTTCAGGATAAAGGAGGACCGATACGATTCATTGCAAATCCGATTGATTTTTACCTGAATCGGTACACGTTCACATAAACTATAGCGTCAGCGGCAGGATATNGGATCCAACTTCATCTCAGGGGGTACACAGAGTAGACAATTTTAAGGGGGCAGGGGTCATAAATAGCTTTCAGGATAAAGGAGGACCGATACGATTCATTGCAAATCCGATTGATTTTTACCTGAATCGGTACACGTTCACATAGACTATAGCGTCAGCGGCAGGATATTGGTTCGAATCTCCTTGGGTGCACACATTTTCTCCTGACTTGGACATTTTCCCATGACCACAATATGTGTCAGTCCTGAGAATAGCTCTTGGGTCGATCCTATAAAGAACGTTGTGACGCTTCCATCGAATATCCCATCCTGGTCACAAGACGTTCCCAGTTGAGGGTAAATTCTGTGGGTGGAGAGTGTTAAGGAGGACCCGATTCGCAGGGTGTCCGTCGAAGGACTTTTACCTGAATCGGTACTCCTTCGCACCCTGTGTAGATTGCTGCGTAGATCCCTTGTCGGTGTATAGTCGAACCAAGGCTTCGTTCCCTGACGCCACCATTTCTTCAGGGACGATATCAAGGTGCTGTTAAGATTGTTCTGCCGGTTTCTAGCTGTCACAATGTATTTCCAGTGAGTAAGAGTAAAATCTGCCGGCCAAGAGTGAGCCGGTGTTATCGTTTATGTGGTAGCCATTCGTGATCAACCTGTCGTGGACATCGCATGCTAAGCGCCATTTATTGGGCTTGTGCAACAGTCGGTGTGTTCGGGTGACAAATGCTGTCAGACGTAAGTAAATGTGGGGTCGAGGAGCTCCGTATGCCATAACCATGTTAAACTCCAGGGATGGAGATGATACAAGTGAGCTAGCTATTGCAGGAACTTCGGCGCTTGGCATCGAAACGGGGCACAGCCTTCTGCAGAGAGTTCTTGTTTGGACGACATGTCACGTCGGTCTAAGGTGCAGCTCGTTCCCCGCTGACCGTGAAATTGGTAATGCTGCGACCGACATCATCGACACCACGAAAGAGGAAATTATTGACACCGTGCTATGAAAGGGGATGCACAGCATTTGCCCTGTCGATTGAGTAGCTGCCACAACGCCTAGTTTTCACCACGCACAAACGTGTGACCCGTGCGCGGGAGGGAGGAGTCCAGCGCTGTGTTTGGCAAAAAATGCTGAGTTGTTACTGTTGTCGTTGTCTTCACCTAATAAAAGGTTCCGATCGCGATGATGCTCAGTACTTTCTGGGTTCAGCTCATGCAGACGCCCACCATGACTTCACGCAATCCACTCCCACATAAGGTAGACGCACACATGCGTTTACTTTTTTCATCAAGGCTCACAACAGTTTAGTCCGCGGTTATTTTATAGTGTTCCTCTCCCTGAGAGCCCCTACCCACCCCTACCTCCTGCGGTACTTGCCTTCGATTTTTAGCTCTAGCGGAGTGCNTATTTTATAGTGTTCCTCTCCCTGAGAGCCCCTACCCACCCCTACCTCCTGCGGTACTTGCCTTCGATTTTTAGCGCTAGCGGAGTGCAGCGTTCTTTCCTCAAAGTGTACAAACGAACTACTAGCGATTCCCACCACCAGAAAGGACATGAGACAAAAAAAAAACCTCTGCAAGAAAAAGGGGTCGTGCACGTCGGGGTTTGAACCCATTTACCTGGTCACTACAGATTGCGAGGATACCATAGCTAAACTCTGGGCGATCGGCTACCATGCGTATACACAAATATCAAACAGGAAGTGGCAGGACCCTGAACAATCAACATCACCTAAAGCTGGTAGAAAAAATGCACCAAAGGGCCAGCAAGTCACACGTCGCAGGCGATGTGTCGGACAAAGGAAATGGAATAGTAAGCCCGTCTGCCACTCGAAACACGAGGATGGAACACACTCTACGAGGGTTAGCTTATTTTCCCATGGGTACCCATGGCCCATGGGTACCCATGGGCACGAATTAGGATAATGTACAACACCCCTGTACACGTGCAACCGAACAACACTAACCAAGAACTATTATGTAATGATTCCATCCTCGTACGCCTACTAAGCCGGATTTTTTTCGTCTCTCAGTGTTCCACCGTCCATGTCATTTCCCAAACAACGCTGTTTAAACGAACAAAGTAAAACCGCAGTGACAGGGGCAGCGATCGGCCCACGTCCAACCCCAAACAACGCTGGCTAAACGAAGGTCTACCATTGTCAATCCTAACAACCTACTACGACCGTCACCCCAGCCCTGAACCAAGACCAACCCCCACACAACCCACCCCCACTCACGCAGCGCAATCCAACACCAACATAACCCGATCCAACACCAATCGGCAGTACGAGGATAGACATCCCACAAACCCACAAGCAACAGGGGC